TGTGTTTAAAGTGGCACTTAAATAGTTGAGTCCCTGTGTGAATCTAGCTGATAGTGCATTAGAAACTGAAAATGTTTACATTACAGCCTTGAGAGCTCAGAATTTTTCCTTCTAACAGAAATGGTTTTATATATTAGGGAAGCAGAGAAATAAAGAATGTGGTGTGACCACTTTTTTTTACATTAACTCATCTTGTCTCTCCTTATTTATAAAAAATGAACAAAAGCTTAGTGTAATTTATAAGTTATGATAATCATTATGTGATTTTTACATTCATTTTGCCGAGTTTTCTGTTAATACAATGAAAAGACAGATTAAGTATTGGCACTAGAACTTCCAACTGGGCTCTGAAAATACATCTGTCTAGCTGGCTCTGACTCATTTCTACAAATAAAAATGCTACAATCAAAAGTCTAATGAGCTGTGTGCCTGCTGAATGTAAGACAGGGGAGGCTATCCATCTTTCATTTTTTGTACCTGTAACCTGCAGCCTGCCTATGCAGACAAACAAATTTTCCTTCCTGTCATCAATGGAGTTAATCTGACTAGATAAAGGGCTGCAGTCATGTAAAACTGGAGAGACTTTTTAGAGTAATCCTGGGTCTACAATTCCAAGAGTTCTAAATTCAACTAGAAAATAAATAGAATATTTAATACCTGGGAAGATGCAAGGAGTACAGGTTTAAAAAATATATATACCTGTACATACTCATTTGCAGGATACTTCTGATGGGTAAATTGCTAAAATGATGTTTTATATTAATTTATGAGTGACTGTAGATTTTTGAAACATCAATCTAATGCCACAAATGTGGCAGCTTTTGTTGTAAAAGAAATGGGGGTGAATTACAGGCTTTTTGTTTAGTGAGAAGTTTTATGACTTTTAAAGAATATTTTTTCTTATGTTTCCAAACAAAAGGAGTTTTAGGTTGCCTGTAAAATGAATTTCATGTAGGAAAGCTCTAAGGTCTTGGGCAACTTAAATTCTTTTGGGTTTGATTAAAACAAAAAAAATATCACCCTAATCTGACCTCTTACGAATTTTCTGGAACTTTTAGTTTAAATTAGACATGTTGTTTTGGATCAAAATCAAAATGCTCTCTTCTCAGAAATGTCAAACAGGATGCTTTTAATGTTTCTCCTGTTTCCAAAATGAAACTTATTTGAAATAGTTTAAATATAAAGATGGATGAAAATGTTTTCCATACGAAAAACAAAGTTAGCAAATCTTTAAACTGGTTCTCTCTAGAAATAAGGTTTTAGTCTTATACTGTTGTTCAGCACGTTTTTTTAAGGTCATATCTAAAACCACAGGGAACGAAAACATAATGCAGAGTTGTGGGGGATTCAGACTCAGTAAAACATTTCAGCAGCACAACTTAAATGTGTGGTGCACTTTAAAGAGTGTGTTTTCCAGGCTTTTCATCATCTAGGCAAAATAATATTTTTCTTCTTTGCCCATCTACAGGTTAGCAAAATTCAGTTTGGTGGCGATGGCTGAGTGATTTCCAGGGATGGGAGGTAAGCATCTCTCTACCATCTGTACCTTTCCTACTCCCCTCTCTACAACCCATGTAACTTCACTGGCTGGGGGGTTTGTCTGCAGACAACTTTCATCCCAGTGATAACAAATGAGCTGTTGGTGTAAGCCCAGCCACAGCATCTGTGACAGGTTGTGACCTGTGTGACCTGTCATTCCTTGATAGGTATCATAGAATCATTGAGGATGGAAGAAACCTCTGGAGAAAAACTAGTTCAGCCACTCCTGGCTTAAGCAGGGTCAGCTAAAGCAGGCTGTCCAGGACCATGTCCATGGGTTTTGAATATCTCTGAGGTTTGGCTGAAGGTGACAAAAGGGAAATAAGTGTAACTCCAACTCTTATAACCAAGAGTGCAGTCCTCTTTCAGGAGACTCCCTGAGTAGCTTCCACCATCTAAGGATGCTGGATATACCACTGTGCAAAATTGACTGTCACAAAAAACTCCTTTGGCATGCCCCAGGAACATTCACAGAATCACAGAATTGTCTAGGTTGGAAAAGACCTTGAAGATAATCCAGTCCAAGAATCAACCATCCAGTCCAACCATGAACCTCACACTGACCGTTCCCAACTCCACCAGATCCCTCAGCACTATGTCGACCCTACTCTTAAACCCCTCCAGGGATGGGGACTCCCCCCCCTGCCCTGGGTAGCCCATTCCAACACCCAACAACCCCTTCTGTAAAGAAATCCTTCCTAATATCTAGCCTACACCTTCCCTGGCACAATTTGATGCCATTCCCTCTTGTTCTAAACAGCTCTGAGGACTGCAGTGCAGAAAAGTCAGCTATGATCCCCAACACGGTGCAGCTGCCTCAGCACACCAACGCAGCCATGAAGTCTGCCACAGGCATGCTATCACTCCACTCAGGAGGACTGACCAGCATTAGCTCAGTGATCTTCACTTAGGCATGGGGATAAAAAACTCTTTGTCAGTAAAGCAACAACTGTCCTTAAGAGGCAGTTTTCTTATTAGAGGAATTTATAATCTTGTCTAGGGCAATATTTAAACAGAATCAGACTTAAGGCAGTGAGTATGTTACTCTCACTAAAATATCTCTTACAAAGTCAGTACTTCTTGGAAGTTTAAATCAAACACATCCCCTCAGAAAATTACCCCACCCACCAAACAATCACATAATTTGAATGCACAGTCAAAATGGGACTTTGACAAATATCAGTGCATGCAGAGGCAATAATCTGACATCAAAGCTTCACTTAAAGAGACACGAATTATCACAGACAGCTCAAATACCAAGTTTAACATCAAATCTGTGCCCACTCACTTTTAAAGGAGTTTAAAGCCAGGTATTTTCCTTTTTTTTTTTTTTTAAATTTCAGAACAGAAATAAAATCAATTTGCAGTGTTTGGCTCTCGAATTAAATGTATGATTTTAGCTCCTGCCTGCCCACCTATATTTCATCTCGTTCCCCTAGAAGCCAAAGTCTGGCTTGAACCAAACTGATCCTCAAATATATTTTTAAAATTTAAACAGCCTGTAATAAAATGGATCCGTGGCTAAACATTTCCTAAAGGTTGTTCTGAAGATACCTGTAGGTATAGAATCCAAATCCAGTCTGGATGTTTTCAATGTTGGTGGAAGTTTGAGATCAGTATTACAGCTGAAGTGTGATTTGAAATGTAGTTTAGACCATTGATGCATAGAACTAATTTGTGTGAGATTTTGGTCTAAACTACAGTTTCTAGTTTATAAATTCCATTTTTACCAGCACCTAAGACTAAATTTGTGGTTTACTCCCAGCAGTACTAAGGTCAACTCACAGACTTGTACAAAAACCATCATAAAAACCTTATGGTTTATTGTGAGAACTTTTTCTTAAATTCAAACCATATTCTTTTCAGCTGAGTTTTGCTTTCGGATTTTGGATTTGTTTGTAACCAAAACCAGACAGAAATTCAGGCAGAATACATTTGAGAAAACTGCTCCTAACGTAAGGATAGTAGCTCAAAACCAAAGGATAAACTGTACAGGGAGGGAAATGCTTTATAAACACCCTTTAAGTGTGATGCTTATCCTGTAGAAAAAGAACAATAAACTGCAAATTTAGTGTCATATGCAGAATATGCTTCAAATTGTATTTGATAAACGATATAGTTATAGCTATATAAAGATATAAAATTACATTATTACTATTTGCTATAACCTAGAGAATTTTGCCACTAGGAAGGAAGCCCCAAAATCTAGAATGGCATCATTAACTAATTAAATGTAATTTTGGTGTATTTCCAACTGCCAATCAGTTTGAGGAATACTGAAATTAAGTAGGCGGAGGCTCATTTTGCTGTGGAAGAATCAGCCCATGAGATGGTACCACACTAATAAGACAAAGTGAAGGATGTTCTTCTGTGGCTGCAGGGAACAGAGCACCAGAACAGTTTGCAGCTGCCAGAATAAGCCCATACCCTTGCCTCTGATGCTTGTGACATCGATCCTCATGCAGTGTTTTGTGCTGACTCCATTTTCCATACGAAATCACCACGGCTGCTGCAGAAGACTAATTAAGTTGTGGATTTATTCCCTGTCCTTTTCACTGGCTCTGTCTTGAGCTTTTTTTTTTTTTTTTTTTTTTTTTTTTTTTTTTTTTTTTTTCTGTTAGCTTTATTTGAGCTGTTCCTGACATGGGAACACAAGGAGGGGTTTTATCCTAAACTGTGGATATTGACACAGTCATTGAAAATGCTATAATAGGAACACATTAGTCCTACTAATAACTTATTCTGATTTTGTCACTGTGCTGTTACAATTATGTTAATCAAGTTGACACTAAATTTGTGATTAACGCTGTGGATCACTAATAATTAAGAGTAAATGTTAGCATTAATATACTTATTTTCTTCCAGTTGTCAAGATCCTATCAACTACCATTAATATTTTTGAGACAGTGGAACGTGGGCCAGATTTAGACCAATTCTCATGAGCTTTTTAATTTTAAGACTGACAAAGTTACAGAAACAAGAACAGCAGGTTCTCCAAAGGCAAGGTGCATACAGAACCTGTTGAAGTTGTCAATAGTGGCGTTCCAGAACAAATCAGAAGAAACTGCATGTCCTTATCAACTCCCAGCATTCAGTTTTGCTATAAGGCTTCCCAAACTCTTATATTTTCACCCCAAGAAGCAGTTTATATGCCTATATGCTTCAGGAGACACCTGTAATCCAGCCAGAGAATCAGACACAGCTGGATCACTCTAAGTGGCCTTCAGTTGGCCAAGCCAAAATCACTCCAATTGGCCTAGCCAAAATGTTTGTTTGTAAGTATGGGTAATTCACCCAAAAGCCCATGACTAGGGCTTGAGCAATCCGTTTCAGAATTTTTAACCAGATTAGCAAATGTTCCCCACTGAACCTATGGGCATTGTGGTTCTCTAGGAAAAAAAAAAAAACAAAACTGGTGATGATATTGATAAATGCAAGATGAGAAGACAGAATGAAATGACATTTGGTGAGATTGGACAGAAACTAAAGTTAGTGTAGGATATTGAATAAATGGCAGATCAGGAGCACAGTCATGCTTCATGAGGGTGGTTCTGCAACAGTGTCACATACGATCATCATCCCCAGGCAAAGTGTTTCTGACTTCAAGAATAACAACTGCAGTCATCTCCTCTTCCTATATAGTGACTCCTGCTTGGCTTTTTGTTGGTTGTGTTTTTTGTTGTGTTTTTTTTTTTTTCCCAGTGACTAAGCATCTAATTTGAATCAACTGTGGGAGAAGAGAGGATTGAAGGTAAAGTAGTGCTTTTTATTATTCAGGTTGTCATTAATTGCTGTTTCAGTTCACAACATTTAAATGAAATATTCACGCAATCGGGCCAGTTGTAATTCAATCAGAAACCCATCCAACTACCCTGAGGAATCCCATCAGGGCTCCTTACGCAGCAAGAATGAATTTTAATTAGAAATTTGAAATAAGCTTTTCTCCAGTTTTGCCAGGAACAAAATGGGCTGGTGCTTAGTGCCTCCATATGGGGAATTAAAGCCTTTGCAAAAAATCAGCATTTAAAGAAACATGTAGAATTTAAGATTGTGATAAATGAGTCTATATTTGCACTTTCTGGTAAGTTCCAGTGAAGAATCTGAATGTTTTGCAAACAAATTGCTAGGTCCAAAGTACACTACCACTTCTGCTGTGAGTATCTGTATTTTTAAAAGTTCTATCTTATCCTAAAAAATGATGAATAATTTAGTTGCACACAAAGCTATCTTTGAAGATGCAGCTAATAAAAGAAATAGGAGGTAGAGAGCAGTTTGAATGGAAAATTACTATTTAATCATTTTAAATGGGTCATATGCTACTAGCCCTGAGACATATTTTGAACTGTTAGAAGACTTCCAGCAAGATGCTTGCTCCAACCCCAGGGCAAGAGGTGAAGCCATAGGGTCATGATTCTTAAACCTGTCAACAGAAATCATGATTCTGTACTGGGTCTGGCTGAGCTGGAACTGGTTTTCCCCTCCAGCAGCCCTCACGGTGCTGTGGTTTATGCTGGGAGCTAGCAGGGTGTTGGCAGCGCCCTGGTGCTGTGGCTGCTGCTGAGCGGTGCTTACACAGCACCAAGGCTCTTCCCGACATTTCCCCCCAGTGGGATGGGGTGGGCAAGAACTCGGGAGGGGACACAGCCAGGACAGCTGACCCGAACCGACCAAAGGGACATTCCAGACCATGTGACGTCTGCTCAGTGTAAAACTGGGGAAAAGGAGGAAGGGGCTGGGGTCACCCTTGGTCCTCAGAGGCAACCACTCCGCGTATGGGAGCCCTGATCCTGAGAAGGCCCCACAGCGCCTGCCCATGGGAAGGAGAGAATAAATAGTTTTTTGGGTTTTTTGCTTCCACATGCAGACCTTTGCTTTGCTTATATTAAAATTGCTTTTGTCTTACCCACAAGGGTTGGTCTATCTTATTTTCTTCCCCCTCTTTGCCCTGTTGAGAAAACAAAGGGAAAAGGGGAAAGCGATAGAGTGACTTGGTGGGTACCTGGCATTTAGCCAAGGTCAAACTACCACAGCCACTAATTAAACCAGTCACTAATTTTGAGGTGTATGACACAACTCTAATAAACTGGTGGAGGATGGCAGGGAGAAGTTACTTGACTCTGTATTAAGTTGCTGTAGAGTAAGTCAGTCAGGCTAAGTGGTAGATAAGTTGCAACGTGTGGGGTTTGGTGTTTTGGGGTTTTTCTTCTGGTTTGAGTTTTTGTTTTTGCTGGTTTGGTGGGTTTTAGGCTTGGGTTTGGGGTGGGGGTTTTTTGTTTGTTTGGGCAGATTTGGTTTGGTTTGTTTTTTTGTTTTTTTTTTTTTGTTTGTTTTAGTCTTGCTTAACTATTTAAACAGAGCTTGAAGGAAAATAAAATAGCTACTTCATCTTAGACTGCTTTTCCTTTTTCCTCTTGACCATTATGTCCATGACTTGCTTTCCTTCTACTAATCTCTTCCTTAAAAACTGCTTTCAAATAATGCAGAGCAGAACACAGAAATCTTTCCCTCACCTTAAAATATAATTGCTTAAAGTTGACATATGTGGAGCACAGCCCAGCTTATTTTGTCATGTTTTTCCTAGCTTTGCCACCTTGGAAACCTAGTGCTTTGTATATATATATATATATATATATATTTGCATTTAATTAATGACAAGCAGAGTACCATCTCATTTTGGAGGCTTCCCCAGGCTATTTGCTCCAGGCTCCATTTGTCAGTGAGATACAGGACTTGCACTTCACTGTTCTCATTTCCAAAGCAGACAATTGCTCCAGACCCTCCACAGAAGGGTAGGTGGGAAAGAAAAACACAGAACTGTAGACAGGATCCTTAACTTACCTAAACTGGCAGTAGCTTCATTGACTAGAATTACACTATCAGCTGATGAACTACGTATATTGTCCTAATAAAAAATAGCCTGATGTCCTAGCCTTACCCATAAGACAAGTGCCTTTCTCCATGCTCCAAAATTAAGTGTATGAAACCAAGCTTCCATCTTGAACATTTTTCTTCTGCTTAGGATCCCTCAAACTCAGCTAGGGATGAGTCTGATTATATGCAGGGTGAGTCTGAACATACAGCTAGGACAAAAAACACGAGTCTGTAATCTGGTTCAACATAAGTAAGGCCTTGACCATAAGATTTTCTGGTGCATTTTTGTTGTGGGGTTTCTTTTTCTCCCTTCTCCATGCATTGTAAGACTTCATGGCACCCATGCCTTGAACACACAGTAACTTAATGAAAGTCAGGAGAAAGGTTTTGTGTTAAAGCATGAGTTACAGTATTTAAGGCATTTGTTTTCATGTTTAGAAAGAGGACTTTCTAGTATGGCTAGATAATTGAGCTGTGTGTTTCATAAAACATGTTTTTTTCTGACTAGAATTATTCTCATTTCACAAGGATTATGCAGCTTAGTTTTGCATGGAAACAATATTAGCTAGAAAACAGTTAATTTCTTGACAAGGGAAATTAATGTATTTGTATGGCAGCTGCCTCTATTAACAGAATAAATTTTCCTTCAGGGCCATCTCACTGATTTTTACAACCAGTTTCACATTCGATTCAAGTTCTTTGGAGCGTGATATCTTGGATATTTCATGGAAATGTCTGCAAAATGTTTAGCAAGTTGTGCTTCAAAATCAGCATGCTTAGTTCTCCCCCTTTCAAAAGGCCTAAGATCATGTTGAAACTGTAGTTAAAGTATTCTTTATAGCACTCTGAACTCGAGCAGGTGTCCCAGTTCAGTATGCAGAGCGGAAGATCAGGTTGTGATTGCTATTATACTCCAAAGGTTGGTTTTAATTAACAAGAGCAAAGTGATTCTAATGAAAAGGGGAAAGTTTATTTAAACAAAAGCTCTTAATCTAAAAAGAATTCACATTATAATCCCCAGGGAGTTCTCCTTAAAAATTCTTAAGGAAATAATGATAAGGACAAAAGATTGAGGGTTCAAAGAAATTACTGAAATTTAGCACTCAGTAGAAGAAAAGAAGTGACAGTCATGAAAGTGGAAGTCTACCTGTTCTCCCTTAGCTGAGGACCAATTTTCCTGTTTTGTCCATCAAACATCTGTTTCCTGCAGAGGCTTTCTAGATTGTGTAGAATGGGAATTTAGTTTAGTCTGCCATTGTAACAGTCAGTCTCTGTCAATTAGACTAGCAATTTGAGGAACAAAATACTTAGAAAGGATCTCTAAGGGAATTAAATACATAGCTAAAGCAATGACAACTTACATCTAACTAAAACTAGAGTTTTAGTCTTTTTTCCTTAACCTTTTTATCTATAGTAAGAAATGGCAATGCAGACAATGCTACAGTTAAAAACACTGTATCTTCCCCAGGTATCGGATCAATTTGCTCTCCATCCTCAGGCATCAATGGCTTTTCATTCCTACAAAAGGGACAGACTCAACGTTTAGCCTATATATGAAGGTACAGGATATAACTACAAAAAAAGTAAACATTATCGCCACTTTTGGCAATTGCTAACCTTCTGATAATATGATGGGACAAATACTTTCTTTATATGGCTGAGAAAGTATCATTTAAAATCTCTATCAAGATAGTAATTCTGGACTGGACATTAGTTGCAGTAGCAAAAACACTTTTTAGGCTGAATATAAAAATCTTTTCTCTTGTCTGCTTAAGAAACCGTAGCCAGGGAAGAGGTTGTCAGTTCATACTTTCCTCAATATATGTAAATTAATAATAGTGATATGCCTAGAGATTATCATACAGAGTTTTTCTTTGACGGCTGGGAGCAGCTGCACTGTAAACAAAGGTGGTGCAGAAGCAAGGCTGTCGAGCTAGGCTGATGCATGTTGTGTGTTCCCTGGAGAAACTAATCTCTTCTGCTATTTCCCATCGCTCAGCTCGCCCAGCATGTCTCAAGCCATGTCTAATTACCATTTCTACCTCTCATTCAGTCAAAGAGGTGCTATTATATCAGACAAAACACGCATCCTATTATGTGTTGGTTGTGTATTACTTCTTCCCTTCCCTTCCATCTGAGCTTTTACCAAATCTGTTCCTTCAGCTGTACCTCATTTGACTCACAGCTTTGCATGTGAATGCACATTTCCAGCTCACTGAAGCTGCTTCCAGCGCTTCCTGGTGCTGTCTTACAACTTGTAGAATACATTTGCTGTTTAAGTTTCTATTATTTTCTTGCTACTTGCTCTTTTCTATGCTTTTCTTCCCCCCCATCACTGGCTCAGAGACACTGTAGGCATGAAAACTTGATCTTATCCATTTCTCTTGGAACTATGATGTTTAAGTGAGGCCTTTGTAGACGTACACAGACAACAGCATTTATGAAACAGGAAACGTGCTGAGTAGATCTCTAAGTCAGTCTAAAGAAGAATGTAATGTATTTCTTTTTCTGGCTATATTCTAGATGCTAAACCTATTCATCTTTGCAAAAAATATACCTCTTCTTTCAACGATATTTATTTAAGAACTTGCTGAGGTAGAAGACAGTACAAGACTAGGATAACTCTTTTTTGAGCTCTTGAACCACCAAAGCTATCTAGTGGAGCACTTCGATACGAACCTGCAGTTATTTCCTATGAGTGAAATATATAGATGGGAGAGAACACCTCTCTACATGTCAGCTGCTTTGAATCATTCTGGCACTTGGCCTGGGTCACCCTTCATCATTGTGAATTCAGAGTGGGCAAATCTGAAATCCCTCGGATTAAAGACAGGCATACAAAGCTCTGTCATTGTCACTGAAAAGGAATGAGTATTATTCTTTTCCTTTTGAATTTCAGAAGTACCTTCAGTACCCTGTTTTAGCTGTAGTTGGGAGAAAAGTCAGTGAGGAAGATCAAGAAAAGACTGCAATTAAAATAATTTTATGATTTCAAAGAGCTGCTGGCCCTGTAAAGATTCTGCTCTGAGTTACTATCAGGAGGCATATCCATAATGTATAATAAAAGCAATAGATCTCCCACACTATCTCCTATCCTCTCCAAATCCAGTGTTTTCTGAAAAATTAAAAGGAAGTGAGCCTGTGTAACTTTCAGTCAGTGAGCCTCCTTTTCCTAATGCCAATCTAGCATCTCCCAAAAGATGGAAGAAACCTCTGGCCTCCTCAAGGAATTACGAGTTTCATTTAGTTCAGCACTTTAACGTTTAACTGTAAGAGATACCTGGATTGTCCTAGGTACTCCAAAGGGTTGGAACCAAGGACAAAAGATACCAAATCAAATGTATTAAGCATCATGTTGCATATCTAGTTTATGATTTTAGAGACAGGTCTTTTGGGATTTTGTGAAGTCTTCATGGATTGTGATACTGAAAAATTAATTACTTGACCAATGACACAATGCCATGTACACCAGGAGACTTCTTGATCTTGGACAAAACTAGCCTGAATTAAGACTCCTACACAAATAGTAACCTTGTGTAACTTCAGCTTCCTAATCTGGATGTCTGGTCTATGCTATGTCCTGTAGCCTCCCTTGATCACATGGAGAGAGGCAGATACCTCCAGGACTGAGACACTTGTTTCGGGAGGGTTATCGATCAATTCGGTACAGTCTCAGAATACTCTGTACTTACACTGAGTGGTGTAGCTATGAACCATAGTCCAGGGATTCTAGATGCTTACCTGTATTAAGTTGGTATCCAAGATGAACACTTTTAGAGATAGAAACATATCACCCCCACCCCCAAAAAAAAAAATCAAGAAAATTTAGATATTGTTATTGATTTCCAGCAAATTTTTACTACAGTCTGATTAGTACACAGTGTTTCTGGAGTGCTAGAATGTTTTGATCCAAGGAGAGTGAAGATCGTGCATGCCAGTTTCTTATGTATGACAGCTTTAGCCCAGCAGTTCTTCACAGCTTTTTTTCTTATTAAATCATAACAACTTCCTGTACTCTTTCGTATGCATAATAGCTACATCAAAGTTCTCATTTTGCGCTTTACTATATTGGTAAGTCATATGGATTGCACTTCTGTTCTTTCAGTCCTATTTGGATGTGGTCTTTCCTAAAACACTCTCTCAGAGACAGTAAATTTATCTTGCCAGGCATGGAAGAGTGTAAAATATTCACCAACTTGTGAAATTTCAGAAAATTCTGTAAACGTGTCTACTTTTCACTTACCTTAATAGTTCAAGGAGCATCTTGAAGTGACTTAGTTAACGAGAAACTGTTGATGGATACTTGATCTCCATAGACAGCTGTTCTTCAAGCCACGGTTGATTTCAACAAGGATGGTACTAGCTGATGTCTTGAAAGGAAGGGAAATCAAAACAGACAGGGTAAAGTAAGTAGACTGTTTCCCAGATGGACGCATATTCCCATCCAGACCCAAGATGGTTAAAATAGCATGAGAGACAAAAGATATTAAAGACAAGAAAGTGGAAGCTCATGTTTGTTCCGGCAGTTCATAGACCAACCTAGTAATACTTAAGAGAGGGATAGAGATGTGATCTATCTGCCTCCTAAACCCTGAAAAACAACTGGTTCTTTCCTCAGTGCAAAGGGCTGCCCCTTCAGTTGTTATAAGATTATTTTAAAAAACAAAATATAGACTATTAAGGAAAGGTAAGGAGTCCTGCTTTTAGTGGGTGCCATAGGACTACATAGTATTTACAGGCTTAAGCTTTTCCATATGAACATTCTCTGCACCAGTCTCCTTTGTAGCACCATGGACTCTCTGTGGCTGTGGAGGAGTGAGCTCTAGAAAACTTTTTCAGTTGGAGAAGGTGAAGGTTGCTTTAAATATAAGATTTGAGTTCCGTTCGGTTTATTTAATTTTGTCATGCAGAATGCAGATTCAGTCCCAACTGACAGCTATACATAATAACAGACGTTATAGTATTGGTTTTGTTCTTGACTTCTGAATATACTATACAGACATCAATTGTGTGATGCAAACACCCGAGTAAAGACCAAGCCTTGGCCCTCTGCTCTCCAGTGTCCTAAACATTTTAAGAACAAGTGAGAAAAGAGACATGGCCATCAGAAAAGGTTTATGCACCACAGGACAGTACAATGTCTAAAGCAAATGTAGTGTATTAGGGTTTGTTTCCCGAAACCCAGACATAAATAGGTCATGAAAAATTACAACAATTCTTCTCCTGATAGTGTACTTTCTTCTCTGTTTTGTAAAACTGTTTGGTTATAGATTGACAAGAACGAACTGTATTTGTTTTTAAGTTTGTGGCTACTAGGCGTGTAAAAGTAGTAGGTTATTTATACGAATCAGTTGTTCTAATTGCCAACAACATTATCTTATGAACGGATACTTTGATTTATTTAAACAGTACTTCTAACTGGAGTAGCCTGGAACTAAAATCCATGGGTTTTTGACTGTTAGTATTGCTAATTTCCCAGTAAGCTAAGGGCATTCATGAGTAAATCCACAAACCACTCTCTCCTGTATCAGTCAATAAATACAGTGGTATGCTGGGAAAGGCAGTGCTGAAACAGAAATGTCTTCAAGGAAAAAAAACAGAGGTATCGTGATATAGAAAAAGGTACAGAAATATGCATGATACAGAAACCTCACTTTGGATGAGAATACACAAGTATTCTCAGAGTACACTCAGAGGCTCTTCCTTCCTTCCTTCAGGCCCTGTCTCAATTGATTAGCTGTCCTGTGGAGTAAACTCGGGTTTTGCTTCCATTAGCATGTGTCACTGAAATGAGCAAGTCTCCAACCAAATAGCTGTCTACAGCACAAATTGAAGATGGTGTAGTAAGTGAGGTTTACATATTAAAAAGAAAGCACCCACAACCTCAAGATTTAGGGAAACTTACTCGTTTTTCATCTGAAACTTGTTCAAACGACTTTTTTTTTTTTTTTTTCCCCCCCTCTAAAAACTTGATTGTAAAAGAGATACAAGTAAATTTGCTAGGCATTTGGCATCGCTGTTTGGATCTTAACAGCGTATTAAGGAGATGCATCTGCTGCCATAGTTTCCTGTACTAGAAAGAGTCAATTACAGAAGGAAATTAGAAGCTGACATAAAGGTCAGAGAGTAGGTGAACAAGGGAAGGGAAGTTCTGAAATTACACAGCTATTGCAATTAAAGTCTGATGGTCCTCATTCTGTGGGTCATAGGATCTGCAGCAGTTTTGATAAATGTTTTAACTTCTATGACAGATCTATCAAGGACAGTAATGGGAAAGGAAAAACTTCTCTTCAGAAAATCACTTATAAGAAATGAGCCTAGAAGTGCCTTCAGTTTCCTTAACCTCATTGAATCTGGATAATTCGATGGCTACTCTCAGCCTCAAATTTCTTGTTCTAGAAGCACTATTTGCCAAACTACTGGCTAAATCCATACCTATACTGTCACTTTTGACAGAAGATTTAAAGTTTCAGATTTCAGCATAGCTCTTGATTTAGAATGCAAAATCATGAACGAATACATCACATGGGATTTCATCTAGGACAGATTTAATGAAAATTGAACCCTACTGAAATTGTAAGCATACTTCATATTCAGAATCCCCATATTTCAGTGGTATGCTGTGTAAAATACTTTCCGTGTTCAAAACAAAGAACTGGGTTTGCTCTATTTGGAAGTGGGTAAAGTGACTGCTGTGATGGTAAACAGGGCAGTGAAACCAAAAAGCCTTCTAAACAATAAAAAGGAGTTAAAAATAATACCAATCTTACACTATTAGGGTGGTCTTGATAACCCTGTGTATGGTCCTAATTTGCATTCATATTACCACCCAAAGGAACTGCTTTGCTGGATCATATAAGGAATTCTGTTTTTCCATTATTACAAAGCTCCTGACTGAAATGGAACTCTGGAGTTCTCTTTGAATGACAAAAAGAAGTGATGGGAAGAAAAAAAGGATTAAAGTTAAAGAAATCCTTCCTTTCACTTGTATTGGAACACAATAATCTGTCCATTTTATAATAGCTGAACTCACTTATGTGGGATTCATCTGTGGAAGATCACTTCCTCAAAGCATTAGACAAAACTACAACACAGCAAAATTGAGGTCTGGATTATATGCAAACCAGTTTCCCAATAAAAAGGTAAAAAAGGAAAGCCAGTCATGCCCAGATAAAGCATGGAGTATATTTTAAGATGAACAAATTAGGAAAAGATCCCAGAGTGGTTGCAGTAATAGATTTTCAATCTAGAGGGAAATTTGGTTTTTTGTTTAAGCATCAGAAAGCAGAGTCAGAGGAAAAATGTTATAAAGTGATACCTACCTAAACGTCTTTAGGAAACACCCAGGATGAAAGGTAAAGGCTACTTTGAGTTAGTTAAGATTCCTGAACTTGGAAACAAAGAACAACTGCTCAATCCCCCTGAAAAACCTCACAGAACAAGAGAAATTGGCTCCATAAGAGCATTCACTTGGAGTAGGAACACAACTGAAAAGCTGCTTTGTCTCCAAGCAAAACTGTTTTAGGCAAATAAGAATTTGGGACAAGAGCAGAGTCAATCATCTGACTATACTGGTCAAGTCCAGTTTCTATACATCTCCTGTAGCTGACACCAGATCAGAATTCAAGAAGCATGACTTAAATAATGTATGGCTTTAGGAATATCACCACCATTCTCAATCTACATTTTTCTTACAGTTCTCCACAAATGTGCATGTGCTGTATGTATGTAATGTACTGTAAGAAGAAATAATGAAGAATTAATGGCTTTACAGGACTATCCCAAGTGTTTACTGATAAAAGTAAATAGGGCATATTCTTTGAAGGTTTTTTTTAAGTAAGTATTTGGGTTGGTCATTATTTCCTTCCCCCTTTCAGCATGCCTTCACATGTAATGACACAAGGCATAAGCAGAACCCTTAATTTGTACTCCTCTATCTGATCATCTATCCTTCTTACATCTGTGTCTATCTGCTGCTCAGAAGTATAGGGTGATATATAAGAAAAAACTTCCCTTTGAACTTGGGAGCTTTCTTAAAACCCACCATTAATGCATAACAGAATAATCTCTCTCAAAATTTAGCCATTATTTTAAATTATTATTTAGTCATTATTACTCATTTTTAAGTAAAAGCACACTGTGTTTTAAACAAACAAACCAAAACCAAACAAACCAAAAAACATTTATCTGAGGAGGATGCATCTCTGTACAGCAACACCTCTCAAACAAGATACCTCCATATTGTGTTGCAACAAGTGCCTGTGCCTTCATGGGTATATTCTGTGCGTAAATGGGACAGCCATGAGGTCCCTGCCTTACCAGTTGGATACTGTATGCACCTTGCCTTTTTTTCATGTTGGGCTAAACTCTCTCTACTGCCATGGTCTGTACCCACGCTGAGGTTCTCACAGGGGAACACCATGAGACATTTCAAACAGAGCTTATGGACTCAGCATCCCACCAGAACAATCTAGACATAATCTAGACACACTGACTTTTACAGAGAGCCTTGAGACTGATCAATTAAATTCTGTAATCTGTTTCAAATCTGTATGATCCTCTGTGGAAGAGCGATTGGGAGTTTTCTGTATGTTTGCTTATAGAGAGCGCTCTCCTCTGAAGGAGAGGCTTTGAGCTGATTAAGCCCAAGTGCACTGATTTCTTGAAGCAAAGCCTGAGAACTGCATTTTCCTCATACCTTCCATAGTGTTCTGGGTGAGCACTAGAAGTCACCAGAACTGCTCATCTTCAAGAGCTGTTGCCATGTTAAATGCCAATGCACAGAAGAGCTAAAAAGCACTTTACAGCTCATTCAGAAGTTCAGCTGTCAAGTCTGTGGAGACTCTTCCTGTTTATTCTAACTTCTTGGTGTTTTTCTTCTTTGACGGTAGCACACAAGTAGCTAAAAGCCTCCTCTCTCTCTCTCTCACCATCAGTCTAGCCTGTCTCTCCCCAGAGCCCTTTCTCCTCAAGAAAATGGCAACAGCTTGCTAAAGCCCTCAGACCACATCAGGGAGGGGGAGATTAAATATAGTCAGTGCGTGATAAAGCCAGGGGCAGGACGAGGGCACCTTCTGTCAGTGGAGCCTGCAGAGTCCCAATAAGAGTTCAAATAGGGGAGTAACACAAGAAACAAACCTTCTCATTTCACCGAGACTTACAGAGATATTAACAGCTGCAAACACCTCGGAGCAGGAGGCACAGCAGAGGTGGTATTTGCTGTAAAAGTTAAATTGAGCTCTAGGGGACGGATGAGAATTAGTCTAAAAGGCATTCTTGACCCAAAATGTGAGCTGAAAACAAAAAATCAGGGCAGAAGAATAATTCTTCACAGGACTTCCCCCTGCCCCCCACTTATGAATACCTGGAG